CTTTTCCATTTGCCGAGACCTGCGCCCAGGCCTGTTTGGTATTCAGGGACGCCCGGTCCGCACTCGCCAGCTCCCGGCTCTGCCCGAATTACTTGATTAAAACGCATATCAACTATTATGTGATTCGCTCCTCTGCCGCAGCTCGAGCCGGCCTGTGTTAAACTGTAATAAAGGCTGGGGTGGGAGGCGGCAGGGACGGGAGCGCAGGAACGGGGTGGGAGGGTGTCTATGGGGGTGGGGGGTCTGAGAGAAGGACCTCACACTGTAAGGCCATTGCCGGTCCAGAATTTCTGACGAGGATTTGGAGATGGGTCCACTCCCTCCTGCAGGTCCAGAAACTGTGACCGTCTCATTTCCAGGCTTTTCCTTGGGCAAAGGGAGAGCAGGGAAGGCTTGGGGGGCGGGGATGGAGAACAGCCACCTGGGTTGGTTTCCATGATCAGAAACGGAATCCTCCATCCCCGGGAATTCACTGCACGAAGTCGACTGTCGCTGGGCTGGGAGTCCTGAGCCCTGGGTTTCCCACCCAGGCCCACTCCCCTGGGATTCCACCGAGTGTCTGGAAAATGGGGCTACTCCTGCTGGCCTGGCCCTCCGGGGCTCAGGGGACAAACCGTGTCAGGTCAGTGAAAGGCTTGTGCACTGTAGGATGCGCGCAGAAGCTTACGGTGCTCACTGTTGCCTTGAGGCAGGACTATTTCAAAGAAACTTTGCCATCATCCTTCGAAGCCCTCTTCATCCGAGAAGCCTTTATTGAGCACCTGCTGTGTGCGGGCACCGCCCCTGTTGCAGTCACGGGGCTCCTGGTGCAGTGGGGCCCAGACACCCAGAGAAGGCGAGTTTGGTGTCTCCCAATGAGCTTGGAGAGCCCCGAGTATTGGCGCCGAAACCAGCCTGACGGGCCCAGGAAGTCGTGCCGGGGGCACCCAAGAGCTGGGCTCTGCTGGCTGAGCAGGCGGCTCCTGGTGGTGGGGAGACGTGCCAAGCAGAGGAAGCTCCGGTTCAGAAGCTGGAGCGTGGGGACGGCCTGGCTCGGTCATCGTAGGAGGCCGAGAGCTGGACGGTACCATGTGGAGAGGCAGGGTGCGTCGGACACGGGCAGGAGGGCGCGTGTGGTGGGGCCTCGCTGGTGTATCGAGGCTTCCGGGGTCAGTGGCTGTGCAAGCTGGTGGTCTCCAGAGGAGGGGGGAGGCTGGGGTGGGGGCTGTGGGGCTGCCCCAGCCATATGCTCCCCACTTCCAGCAGCCTGGCCTGGGCTGGCCTCTGCCTGAGCAGACCTCATCCTACCCACCCTTAGGGTCCCCCTCTCCCCCGCCACCCGTCCCTCACTCCCTCCTGGGCTGTTCTGTGGGTCACATGTTTCACACCTGCCCTGGCCCCGATTCACCTGGGGGCTGGGTTTCCTTCATCGGACTGGGAACATCCCAGAACGGGGAGGTGGGGGGTAACTGATAGCTCTCCCATCAGATGGGGAGCTTCCTAAGACAGAGGCTGTTTCCCCCCGAAAAGGTTGGGAGGGCCCCACGGTGGGGCTGGTTTTCTTCCTTGCTCTGTATGGGACTCCCCACATCCCTAAGCAGAGAGAGGACCCGGGAACCCAGGAGGGTCCCTCACCATATCCCTCTCTCTCGGGGGGGCGGGGGGAGGGGGCCCTATCTCCAGCACCAGCCTGTCCCGCCTCCACGAATCTTCCCGTCGCACAGCTGCTGGAGGCAGGAGACAGGGCTGCAGCTGGCCAGGACGCTGCTCCCCTGCCCGCCTCTGTGCAGCTTCCGTTTAATGAATGCGCTCCCATGTCCCCTCGCCCACAGCCCCTCCCTGTGCCAGCTGCCCGGGCTTTCGCTGCGTGGAGGACTCAGCCCCAGCCATCGGGGCCTCTCTGTGGCCAAGTCCACCTAATCCTGTTGATTAATTTAACTCTGAGACTAATGGGTTCCAGAGGCGGGGAGAGCATCATTGGGGAAACTGAAGCAAGGGCGGGGGGTGGCATCAGGGCTCTTTGTGAGGGAGCCCCCCTCTCTCAGGCTGCTTTGGTCCTGCACCCACCCTCTACCCTTTCTGCAATCATCATCACCATCACCATCAGCAGCAGCATCCTTCATGTGCGTGCCCCGCTACGGCTCCCGATGATCCCCGCAGTCTTCTTTCATTCCATTCTCCCAGCAGCCCCGTGGGGCCCGCGGGCGTGTATCATCCTCTTCATTTTCACAACTGGGAAAACCGGGGTCCAGCGGGGAGGCCACTGATCCCAGGCCACACAGTGAGGGGGAGACAGAGCCCAGCATCCGGGTGTCAGGCCTCCCAGACCAGGACTCCTGACTAGACCAGAGCTGCCCCAGACGGCCCCCCAAATCCTCCCAATCTATCCTTCTTCCCCTTCCTTCTCCAGGAGTGAGCATGGACTTACTGGCTGTGTGGCCTCCATCAAGTTACTGAACCTCTCTGAGCCTTTTCCCCTCTTTGTAAAAGCACCAGTAGCCCAGCCCGGCTGTGGAGCTGGCACAGACCAAGAGGGCTGTCTTCCCTGGGCTGGGCCAGGGCGGAGGCCTGGAGTCACACAGTCCAGGTCCCTTCGGCCTCTCTCCATCTCTGGCTAGTGGGACAGAGCCTTGCTCTCTCCACTCAGCAGCCAGGAAGTTGTTATGGCAACCGTCAACATCCTAGAGGAGCCTTTCAACCAACAGAGGCCTGAGGGCCCTCCTTTGCCTTCCCCAGTCTGGTTTTGGTCTGGGCAGCTCTCTGGGCCCCCGGAGACCCCAGATCTGTGCTGAACAAGGGGTGGGAGGAGCAGGGAGATGAGGAGGAAGGAGACTCAGACTCCACGGTGAGTCTAGAAAGCTGCCCGGAGTTTGGAGGGCCAGGGCATTGGATGCGCACGGGGCCCGCGTGGGCACTGAGGCTGGGCAGGGCAGTGTCGGAAGCACCTTGAACGCATCCCGCGGCCGGTCAGTTGCTAACTGCATTCATGCTTTTGGGTACAGCCCCAGGGCCTGTTCTACTATTTCCTTAAAAATTTACTTTATACGAAAACACCTTAAAAAACGGAATTCAAGGAAACGAATGCTCTCGTGATTGGAAAGTGAGTATCATGCCCTGTACATCGGTGGGAACCATGAAAACAATGTTGCTAATTCTACTAGAGGCGGGTCCTCTCCTTGTTAGAAAGAGAGAACAGCAGTGTTAAATGTGTACTGTCCTGTGTGTAGCCACCAGCCACACCTGGCTGCGTAAATGTGAACGGAAGTGAAATAACAGGAAACATTCAGTTCTTCGGTTGCACTAGACACGCGTCCAGTGCTCGTCCAGCGCGGCCGATACCACCACGTGGAAGCACGCAGGTCCGAGCATCCCCCATCGCGGCGTTGCTGGACAGCGTGGCTCTGGACGGAACTGAGACTGAGTCAGACTGGGGGTCTCCGAGGACAGGGCCACCGGTCCTCCTCACTCAGCTCCTGGGTCCCCACTGGAGGGGGGAGTCCGGTGCCCTGTTCACCAGCGGTGGGCCTCCTCCCTGCCTGCCTGCCACGCCCTGCACCTCCTTCCGAGGCCCCGAGGGCTCCCTCTCCTCACCACTGTCAGAAAACTGAGGCTACGCAGTGAGTTTCAGGAAACGAATCCTTGCGATTAGTTGTCTTTGGCTCTGAGCCCCAGACGTGCTGGGGAAGGTGCCCGGCTGCCAGCTGTGCCCCCCGTGGCCGCCTCTCAGTGATGGGTTGACAGGCAGTCGGGAAAGGGTGGATGAGGGGGATGTATTCAACCCCAGTCTCTGCCTTCAGGAACGAGGCCGGCCACGATGAAGGGAGGGCTCCCTTGCCTGTGGTTCCCTTATTGTCACAATCAGGGACAGCCTGGCAGTGACCGATCAAAAGCAGGCATGACTGTCCAGTGGCCAAGGCAGCAGGACGGAGGGGGGGCACGCAGGTGGAAGGGCACTGCCCCATGGGAACACGACCCCTTGTGCCCTTTGACACACCAGGCCTTTGCACGCGCTCGCCCCTCTGCCTGGATGCCTTTCCCTCACCTCCAGGTGACATCGAAGAGGCTGCATGAGGTTATTGGGGGTGGGGGTGGGGGTGGGGAGGTTGTCCCTTGTGGGAGGACCCTTGGCCTATTCACGGAACCAACATTTGAAGCAATTGGGTTAAGAACGGGTGGAGACGGGACACTATTGCA